ATAAATAAATAAATAAATAAATAAATAAATAAATAAATAAATAAATAAATATTTTGAAAAAAAGAAATATTAATAGTATGTCACTGTTGTCAGAAGACACAGTCCGTGAAACAAGAGAGTCCAAAGTATCCCAAGGATGGTGAAATGTAGATCTAGCATTTACACCAGTGGAGAACGATGATTTGATAAGTGAGGCGGACATAACCACCTAGCCTTTTGCTTTATTTTTTTTAAGTCTTCCTGGGACCAGTAGATGGCGTAACGGTTATATTGCTGGACTCTCCTCACATGGCTGGCTGCAGTTCGAGTCCCAGGCCCAGTGGCTTTAAACTCTGGCCGGGCGTGTGTGCAGGCATGCACAAAATCCTGAGAGGAGAAGGGATTGCCACATGGCCATCTCGGGGAGTGGGGGTGATTTTTCGTTTTCTGTCTCTCTAGGTCTCTTTCTCTCCAGTGAGTGCAAAAATCTCCCTAAAAAATTCTTCTAAACTTCCCCCATCTTTCACTTTCTTACATATAGAAATGTACATCTACTTTATACCAGAATGAACTATAGACAGATCAAAATACTCAAAAATCAAAGACATAAAATGGTTTGAAGTTAAGAGGGCCAGCTAACTGTGTGTGTGACTGTGCAGGGACTGCAGCTGTGCTTCCTCAGCTGCTGTTTCTCCTTTCTTTCCTCCCTCCCTCCCTCCCTGCCTCCCTCTTTCTCTCTTTCTCTCTCTCTCTCTTTCTTTCTTTCTTTCTTTCTTTCTTTCTTTCTTTCTTTCTTTCTTTCTTTCTTTCTTTCTTTCTTTCTTTCTTTCTTTCTTTCTTTCTTTCCTGAGTCTATCTGGGCAAACCAACAACTAGGAGGTGTGCTGGAGGAAATGGGGAGGGAGTCTGGCGGACCTGTAGCCTGAGGGGGCGCAATATCTCTGCACCCTGGGAAGCAAGGCCAGCCTATCACTTGGGAAGTCCACTGGGGAGCAAAGGGCCCCTTTAAAAGGCCCACGGCTACACCTCCTGAGACTTGCTACAAGCCTGGCTTCACCTTCCGCCTTTCCAGAGAAGGTAGAAGTCTATATTGCCTGTGAGAGATATTAGCAGACCCTGTCTTTCAGAAGGCTGGGAGGGGCCCACCAAACCCACGTGTGGGCCAGATCTGTCCCACGGGCCGGCAGCCTATAGTTTCTGAGGTCAATGCAAAAGTGCGATCGCACGAGTGCCCGCAGAGAACACACGCCGTTATGTTCACAATCCTGGGGGAGGAAAGACCTTTCCCAGCACCATCAAAAGCAGGATCTATAAAGGACAAGACATTTAGCTGTATAAAAATGTAAAACTTATGTGTAACCAAACACAATGAACAGAGTTAAAGAGAAATGACGGCCTTCCCCCCAGGCTCTGGTCTGGTCACATGTCTTCCTCGGTGGGGGAGGGAGCGGATCAGGCTTAACAGCCCCCAGAGGACCACCTGGGACTAAAGCAGTTTCTAAGTGAATGAGAAGTGGAAAGCAAGTAGGAAAGCATCCAGAACAATCCAGAATTACAGCCACCACCATCTCCTCTTTATTGCCCGAGACATGTGGGTGCGCATGTGCGTGCGAGGAAGAGAGCACACGGACCCCCTCGTTGGAGCTGGATCCACCACGACCCTCCTTTCTCCAACTCTCCATCCCATCAAGACCCTGGACACACAGGCACACACGCGCGGCATGCTTTGCCAAGCTGTCTGGGTTGGGGGGGGGGAGCCTCAAATCCTGGTTGGCCACATGAGATCCAGCTTTCTCTCTCTTTCTCTCTTTCTCTTTTATTATTTTTAAAGAGGTTTTTGCTGTAGGGCATGTGTGCTTGCTAGAAAGACAGAGAGAGACAGAGAGACAGAAAGCGAGAAATCACCCTCCAGGGGGGATGGCCATGCCGCAATCCCTTTCCCTCCATTCTCCTCTCGGGATCTTGGGCACGCACGCACACGCGCCTGGTGTGAGTTCTAAGCCACCGGGTCTGGGACTCCAACTGCAGTCGACTACATGGGAGTCCAGCAACATAGCCATTATGCCAACTGGTCCCTCTTTTTTTTTTTTTTATAACAAAAATTTTAAATTTTATTTTACTTATTTATTTACTTATTTTAATCTGACCAGAGAGACACACAGAGAGAGGTTAAGTGAGAAAGCAAGCCACCAGGTCTGGGACTTGACCCATGGCCAGCCACATAGGAGTGTCTAGCACCTTAGCCACCACGCCACCTGCTGGCTTCACTACACTGCATTTAACCACTGCACTGTGGGGCCAGCTCCCCATCTTCTATTCTGTTACTCAAAAGACTCTAGCTACGGAACTTTGAGTCTCTCTCTCTCATACTTTAATACGACTCTAAAAATCTAATGGTGCAGATAACAACTGATTAGTGATATCAAGAATTTTTCTGGTGCTGGCTTCAGGGCACGGAGGTAATGTGTTGCTCAAGAGAAGCTGGAGGATTCCATATGGTGACGGCAGTTCAAATCCCTGGCCTAGACAGCCTGAAACACGCCAGGCACACATACTGTGCCCAAGATCTGGTGGGTTGGGGGACCAGAGGAAGGGGATCACAGTGTGACCAGAGTCTCTCATTCTCACGTGCACATGCAGAGAGGATTGTTACTGGAGACCAAATGAGTTTCTCTTTAAAACTGGTTTAGGCGGGCCAGCAGATGACATAATGGTTACATTGCTGGACTCTCATATAGTCGACCGTGGTTCAAGTCCTGGACCCGGCAGTTTAAAACTTAACGCCAGGTGCATGTGTGTGCATGCCTAAGATCCCAAGAGGAGTGGAGGAGAGGGGACTGCGGCGTGGCCATCCCCCCGTGGCGTGATTTCTCACTTTCTGTCTTTCTGTCTCTCCAGTGAGCACACACACCCTATCGCAAAAATCTCTCAAAAAATAAATAATAAAACTGCTTTAGAATGTTAATATAACATAGCATCTGTGAGCAGGCACCGAACTGTATGTGCAGACTCTGAAGCAGAGGAGTAAACGGTAAAATAGAAATGTAACCGAATTCCCCCTCATGGCTCTCACAGAGCTGCGGTACATCATGTTTGCTGGGCAAGAGCTGGAATTATACTGGCCCTGCGTCGGTGCCGTTTGGACCACCATCGCGAACGGTAACCTGACACCCGCAGTAAGTTAGAGACCTAAGAGACGCCAGGCCTGCTGAAACATGGAGCCCCTCGAACAGTCTGACCGCAGAGAAAATGGGAACTCGGAAACATTTCCACCAGCGTTCTTCTTGTTTATTCCTTTCTTCCATGAGGAAGAAGGAAACAGAGAGACAAGCACCCCCGACGCGGGCTTCATCTCATCACGGGCACGTCTGTGCACGCTTAGCATACACCTGGAGGTCCCAGAACACGCGCATGTGCATTACCCTCCTCTGAGGACCCATCCTCTGAGGACGCGTTAATGCTTTGCCACTGCCTGGATCCCAGAGAGTTCTTAAGATGAAAAGGACCCTTAATAATAAATAAAGTTAACTAAATAACTATTTTAAAAGCTATTAGAAAGAGATGAAAAGGGGGCTGGCAAGTGGCATGAAGATTAAGAACGCTGGACTCCCACATGGTCGGCCATGGTTCGAGTCCCGGACCTGGAGGCTTGCTCTCTCACTTTCCCTTTCTCTCTCTATCTGGTCAAATTGAAAACAACAACAACAACAACAATAGAATTAAATTCCCACATTATTTTTTTTAAAAAAAAGATCAAAAGCCCCAAACTTATTCTTTGAATTGATTCTAAAATGAAACATCACCAGGTCTTAGAATCAGACCCCACACTCACCTGCTGCCGCTGCCGTTGGCTCGCTCGGTGAACGCCATAGCTTCCAGTCAGGAGCCAAGGGCGGGTCCACTCATCTGGAAGAGAAAGGGCTGTGAGCGCTGGCCCACAGCGGCACCCCGAGAGGTCTCACGAGAGGTCTCATGAGAGGTCTCACTGGAGACAGGCTTGGACGTGCTCATTTGCGTTAGGGGCATTCTTCGCCAACTCCCGAGGTGCACGACCGAACCGGCTGGTGTAGGTTGAAAGCCACGTGCACTTTCGAGGCTGTAGCTCAAAGCCAGTTCTGCGAGAGAAACACGTGCACAGACAGATCACGGAAAGGAGAGGAGAGAACATCTCCCTCGTGTCTGCTCCATGCCAAGCACTGTGGTGAGCCCGTTTAAAAAGGCCATTTTATGGAAGCGTTACACTACACTTGCCAGGTGGGTCCCAACAGGCCATGCACGGAGAAAGCGGAGGCTGGGTTGTAAGTACCTTCCCAGGGGTCACAGGCCGTGTCAGCATCTCACTGTCATTTAAAGGAAGGGCGGAAGTGCCCAGCTTATCAGCAAAAGGGAATCGAACACTGATCTTCACAGATGAGTGAAAAACTAAACAAAAGCAGTGTGTGCCGGTACCAACCAAGCTTGAGATTTTACTTCCACTCCTAAAAGGGTCTTAATACTGTGGTATTAATACCAGCGTATGGTATGGAGGTTAAGGTGTTAGATCCCACATGGCCGCTGGGCAGTTTGTCTCAGACCTGGTGGCTTAAAAATCACGACCAGTGTGTGTGTGTGCCCCAAATCCCGAAAGGAGAATGGCGGAGAAGGGATGGTGATGTGGCCATCCTCCCCAAGGTCGGATTTCTCAATTTCCCCCTCTTTCTCTCTGTCTCTCTCTGGCAAGTGCACGCACCCTATAGCAAAAACTAAAATGATGAAATTTTTAATTTGACCAGAGAGAGACAGAGAGAGAGAGAAACAGAAAGTGAGAAAGCATGCCGCCAGGTCTGGAGCTTGAACCACAGTCGGCTATATGGGAATTCAGTGGCCTTAACCACCATGCCACCTGCCAGCTTGAACATAATACATTTTTTTTAAATGATAAAAAGTACTTAATTTTTTTAAAGAGGTTTTTTCTATAGGGCGTGTGCACTTGCCAGACAGAGAGAGACAGAGAGACAGAAAGCGAGAAATCACCCCCCAGGGGGGATGGCCACGCTGCAATCCCTTCTCCTCCATTCTCCTCTCGGGATCTTGGGCACGCACGCACACGCGCCCGACGTGAGTTTTAAGCCACCAAGTCTGGGACGCGAACTACAGTTGACTACATGGGAGTCCAGCGACATAGCCATTACGCTAACTGCTGGTCCCATGTACTTAATTTTTTAAAAAGCAATTCTTGGGGCCAGCAGCTGGTAAGGTGATTAAGGTGCTGGATCCCACATGGCTGACTCCACAGTTCAAGTCCCAGACAAGTTCCAGCAACAGTTTGAGAAACGTGCTAGGCACATGTGTGTATGTGTCCAAATCCCAAGAGGAAAATGGAGGAGACAGGGTTGTGACGTGGACATCCTCCCTGGAAATGATTTCTCACTTTCCCTCTCTATTGTGTCTCTCTGGCAAACTCCACAGCAAAAATCTAAAATAAATAAGTAAACAATTCTTCAGCAGTCTCCCAAAGCAGAACTGGAATTTTTGAGGAAAAAAGATGTCATCCAATCTGGGCAGATAGCCTTGGTTTTTATCTTGTGTGTGTCTGGAAACAATTCATTTCTGTGGGGGACACTATCAACAGCTGTTTCCTTTTCCCTCTCTAGTTTGTGTTTGTATCAATAAGTGGACTGCACTTATCCTAAAGGCAAAGGCAGGTTACTGTATTTTCTTAGTACAGATTTAACAAACTGTTGGACAGGAGTGGAAACACTACACTGAATATGTAACCATTCTATCTAGCTGGGGTTGAAACACTGACTTCAGTCCTTCAGAGCTACTTTGCCTTTTGATAAGCTCTTTATCACCCTGGCCATACAACCTGAGTGGCTGACTTCTAACTATTTACAATGTTGCCATATTGGTAGCTATCATTTGTCATCCTACCTCCTCTCCCAGACTGCAACACCGATATTGCAATTTAGTAACTCCTGTTTAGCCGGGAGTTCTGTTTGTCAAGATCAAACGTTTTAAAGAGTCCCAATTCTCACCAGCTATCCTGGGCGAGAGAAGTTTCCTAAACTGGCCAATTCCATTCCCACTCCTGTTGCTCCACTTCCCCCCACACACACACACCTTCTTTCACTTTCTTTTTTCCCTTTCTCCCCCTTTCTCCACCATCTTCTCTTTTATTCCACCTGTCCCCACTCCCTTTGCTGCTCTCACTTTCTCTCAACTTGCCGGGCTGGCACACAGAAAATGATCAATAAAATAGTATTGGCTGGCCCCGTGGTCTGTTGGTTAAGAGAGATGACTCCCAGAAGACTGACTGTGGTTTGAATCCTAGCTCCAGCAGCCTGAAAAACATGCTGGAGTGTGTGAGTGAGCGTGTCTAAGATCCCAACATGGCGAAGTGGAGAAGGGGCTGGGGTGTGACCATGTTTCATCGGGGTGGGGAGAGGGGCTTCTGTCTCCTTCCGGCTCTCTTACCTTACAGTGAGACCATTCTTTCTCTGTCTCTCTCTCATTCTTTCTCTCTGACTCTGGCAAGTGCAAAAATAAATAAATAAAACAAAATCATGGACATCAAACTGCTTTTCTCCTCTAATTTGACGGTGAAGCAATTCAAGTTAAATATGCATGTTTGGGTACACCCCCCCACCCCACACATACTATTTATTCATATGGATACTTGCGCCACACACATACATACATACAAGGGAAAGAAACAAGGTAAGAGGAATGATTCAGAGTATTTTCAAATATTCTGCTCTATATCATGAAATGGTTCCAAATCTAGCACATTCTGGGAACCTACTCTCAGGAGTCTTTTTGACATACTGGTCCTAAGGCCTGCATTGCACCTAACTCTAAGACCTCAGGAAAATGACTAGGGGCTGGCAGGTGGCGTGGTGGGGCAATTTCTCGTTGTCTCTGTCTCTCTCCAATAAAAGCACACGCCCTAAGGCAAAAACCTCTTTAAAAAAAAAAAAGAAAATAAAGACAAAAGATCCATGACATGTCCTGCTTTCTGAAGGAGAATATGAGGGAAATTCCTCTGTCCAGAGGCAGGAGGACGGCTGGACTGGTCAGCTCCCGGTCATGTCCACTCCCCTTTACCCACATGTACCTTCCAAGAATAACAGTGTCTTGGTTAACAAGCAATGTGTCAAGGGTGAGTCATGGGTCACATCCTCTGTTTTTGTCTGACTCTCTACAATTTTACCCCAAACAGATCATAATTTCCCAAGACCCCAACCTGACTCGACTGCCTGCAGTTCCTCTAGCAACAGCCCAACGCTAGTGGATTTCCAGAGCTCAGAAATTCATCAAGGAGGACGGCTTCCCAGTTATCTCCTTCTACTGCAAAGCCTTCGGGGGCGGTCTGGTGTTAGCCCACACTCAGGTACACGCCCCACATCTACCTCCCTCTCATCATTCAGTTCTCTGCTCAGTGATAGTCTCGGGCCTTCCCCAGACTTCTGAAGCTGGGACAGCACTGCTGGAGCCTCGATCACGCTCCCTAACTGGCCCATGCTGTTCTATTTCACAGGTGAGGAACCCGGTTAGCTGCAAGTAACAATTGCTTAGTTAAAAGAGGTTTACGCTTCTCTTGTAGCAAATCTAGAAGAGAGTGGCTACTGGTATAGTTTTCGCTATTCAACAAGGACATCAATAACTCCTACAGGGCCAGTAGGTGGCATGATGGTTAAAGTGTTGGACTCCCACATGGCTGACTGTGGTTCGAGTCCCAGACCTGGCAGCTTGAAAACCACAATGGACATGTGTACATGTGTGTCCAAAATCCAGAGAGAAGAATGGAGGAGAAGGAATTGAAGCGCGGCCATTCCCCCCTAGGGGCTGATTTCTCACTTTCTCTCCACTGAGCACACATACCCTATAGTAAGTAAGTAAGTAAGTGAATGAATGAATGAATGAATGAATAAATAAATAAAAAAGGAAAAAGATCTCTTGGGACCAGGAGATGGTCTGGAGGTTAAGGTGCTGGATCCCACATATCTGACAGTGCAGTTTGAGTTCCAGACCTGGTGGCTTGAAGATCATGCCAGGTGCATGTGCATGCATGCTCAGAATTCCAAGAGGAGATTGGAGGAGAGGGGACTGTGCTGTGGTCATCCTTTGGGGGGGATTTCTCTCTCTCTGGCAAGCAGCAAAACTAAAACAAACAAACAAACAGGGGAAAAAACCCTTCTGGTTTTCTGCTTTGCCACATTAAGTATTTGTCTTTATGCTTGTCCTCCTGTGGTGCACAAGGTTACTGCCACAACGAGACATCATCCACATGAGGCAGGAAGGGGAGTG